GACTTTTTTGTAGACCCTTTTAAGATGTACAATATTGTAGTACATTATTTTGATCTATCTCGTAGGGTTCAGCCAGCGTTTGCAATGTAAGCGCAAAAAATGTGTTTATTTACGACATCACATTAGAAACCTCTAAAATTATCAGTGTTTTCCTACTATATTATGCATGTATTATACATATAAACCTTTCTCTTGAATCACTCTATCTTTTAAAAAAAACCGCATCAAAATCCGTTGCGTAGTTTTAAAGATTTAAGCATACAAAGCAAACAGACAGCGGGAAAGCGACTTTGTTTTATACTATGTAGTGATGAATACTATCGCAATCTAGTTAGCAATAAGATATTTTTTAATACATAAAAAATATGGGATATGAAACGTTTGCTTTGTCTAACTTTCCCTTAATACAATTTCTTAAAACCAGTGCCGTCTTCAGGGGGGTTTAGGGGGCTACAATTATGATCGCTGTAGTTAAAAGTCTTCATAACACTAATTTTTTTAATAAGGGGTCAATCATAAATACGTTCGCAAATAAGGGAGAGAGAAGAGTATTTCTTATGGTGACCAAATTTGACAAGGGAGTACGAGGAGGGGGTCTAAGGAAATGTAGTGTTCGCAGTTCTTAAATTTTATTTAAATTTTTTTCTTAAGTTTTTATTACGACAGTTATTCTCAATGATGTTTTTAACCACAATAAATCGTTTATAAGGGTGATTAGCTTTTGTGACGTAATATTTGTTAGGGGGGTCGCTAAAAGTGTGACGAAAGGGTCCAAAAAGATGAAATTCCTGAAACCGGCACTGCTTGAGCCACCTTGATATATATATATAAAGCTTACGAAAATGTTAACTTCCTATTATACTAATGGGATATGCTATAAAGGACCTTTGTTCCTATTTTTTTTCTAACTGTTACATCTTTACGAAATTGTCCTCTATATTAAGTTATTTACGAAAGTAATTGTTACCTACGTTATTTTGTTTATTTGAGTTCTCTTGCCGACCTTATTCTTTAATTAGATCCAAATAAAATCTCCTAAATATGCTGGAACATTATCCCGTGTTATTTTTAAGATTCTACTCTCAATCTTCATTTAAGATAAATTCGTTGTCAACGCGAATTTATTTTAAAAAAGACTTAAATATTTAGTACTGCTAAGTGTAGTATTTCATATATGTCGAAAGGATCTTCAAAATACTTAAATATATTAAAAGCTGCAGTTAGCGGTAAATTTTCATAGATGGCGTTATACTACCAATAGCTCGATTAATAAATCGAGTATAGCATGAAGCAATAGTTAGTTATCGAAACCGCTTGTAACTTCTAAATTAGGATAAACTGTTGTTCATAAACCTATTTTTCTAGGACATGTTGCAGTGTTTCCTCCTCCTGGTTCTAATTTTATATATTTTAATATTCGTTTTTCCCAAATCCCGTTTGACAAAATTAGAACATGTTACATACCTCCCTCGCGCCAAAAAGAGTCGGCGTCATTAAAATTACAAATTTTGTTAAGATGACAGTTTATATGTATATTTCTAATTTAACGTGGGTGTAGCTACGTGCTGATGGTGNTAAATAATTATAGATATTATTAATAGCTTAGCTAAGTAGTAACAAGACAACATGTGCAAAGACACGATAGATAGTAGAAGTAGAATTTATGCAATAAAATAAAAAAAATTAAAAACATAGGAAAGAGTGTTTATTACAGCGAACAATAATAATAATAATAGTAATAATGGACGACAGAACAAGTATGCTTGTGTGTGTTTTATTTTATTTTTTTTTTTTTTTTTAATCGATGATACTCAGTAGAACTTTCTTGTAATCTCCCGATGTGTCGCCCTGCGAAAGGTACAATTATTAGTTAAAAAAAGCGTGTCATGCAATTGTTAAGAGCCAGAGTTTCTCGCAGCAATAGAAACGAACCGCAATTCGGGCTTCTTTTATAAAAATAATTTGTATATGTTGTCTTTAAGACAGATAAACCGGTGAAAAAAGGTATTCGATCACCAGAGAATTGAACCCCAATCGCTTACGACCGGACGAACATTAATTAAATTTGCACCCAGTTAACTTCAGCTACGAGGACCGCCCGAGTTCAAGTCCCGGCCGATGCAATTCTGTTTTTCGTATACCAATCACAGACGATTTTTAGTTTAATTAATTACTCTAACGATAAGTACCACAAATTCTACTCTACCAACAATAATTATGCATTATAAATAACGTCTATTAATTAATTAATTAATTAATGTGCTTTCATGCTCGCCGCTACGAGAAACACTAGTCATTTATTACTAAACATTTTAAAAATGACTAGCGGGTGCATTGCGATTAATTTTCGTGAAGGAATTAAGTTTTTATTTTTTTTGAAGTGACATAATAATTAAACCAAAAACGATTACATGCAGGGTTAATTTTTATGTTAAGAGTTGCTAGTATGACACAAAAACCATTAAAACATCAAAATTTTTGTCAAGTGAAAAATAATTTTGTAAATTTTACTTGAAATGATTTAGCACACTTAGGTCACTTTTCCATACGAAAGGAAACGGTAAAAAAAATCGAAGTGATTTTGTAATTAATTAAACATAAACGTTCACCTGCACGAATAATTTGAAAATTTGTCAAATACGAATTACGATGGAGACGACGAACTGTAATAACATTAGTAAATACCTAAACCAAGAACCAAACAAACACCAAAGACCTAATGTGTTTGATGCACCCACCATCAAAAGCATGAAAACGTAAAGAAAATTATAATAAAAAGTAAAATCTACTTACGGTGATCCAATCTTCAAGCGATTTTCCATACTTGTCGGCGAATGCCTGCTTGATGTCTCCCAAATCGATTTCAGATCTTGATACGATTATACGGATGAGAGTTTTGTCTTTGGTACCTAACCCAGCCATGGCGTCGTGCAAACGTTCGGCGAAATAGCCCACTTTGCTTTTTACACATTTTACTAGAAAAAGAAAATAAAATATTACTTCAGCACGCAAAAAAGAATGAAAAATAACGAAAAAAAACTACACCATAAGATTCTTTATGAAATTACGAGACATTTTTTCCTTTGCAGTTTTTCAATCCGACTCGTAATAGTCGAGTAATCAACGATTGAAGATTAGCCAATAAGAGCACACTTTCTTTGCTGCAAGTAGAAGTGCAACCATTGCAACCTGCACTTGCAGCGCGCATCGATTGGTCTAACTTTAATCGTTGATTACTCGAAAATTACGCGTCCGATCGAAAAACTGCAAAGGAAAAAGTTTCTTAGAATTTCTTAAATAATCTAATGGCAGTTTTTTTACGAATCTTTTGTTGCTTACCAATTCCAAGTAGACCTTTCTGCACGCTTCCTGAGAATTCCTTTTTAATAACTTCTTCAATATCTTTCCCTGTCAGTCTTTCGTATTCGGCAAATGTTTGCCTTAATTGCTGGTAACTTCTTGTGACCAGGATCTTGTTAAATTCGGATTCTTCAGTGCCCCATTTTGCTTCGCCAGCTTTGATTAGGGCTTCGGCATCGGCTGTCGCCTGGGCTTCGTTTACACCTTGATTTTCATCACGGTTTCCCTGCAAATAAGAAAATTCGTCGGTCAGAAAAACAACATCGTCAAAAGAAAAAATCAAAAAATAAAGTTATTACCTGGGCCAACGAAACCAGGAGGCGTTTGAAATGACCAGATGTGTCGCCCTTTAAATCAGACTCGAGGGGTTTTCCGTACACTGAAAATAATTTAAAAATCAGTACCTAAACGTACCAAAAATAGAAATACAATAAAAAGTGACGTCATTATTTATAAACGCATTCTCGTAGCAAATATTTTTTGGATGACTTCATACGTCTCGTTCACGTACAAGCGTGACCTGGAAAGGCCAAATTAAAAGGTCAAATTCTGCGGAACTGTTTCTTTGTTTTGGCGAAGGCGCTGTCTTGATCGTTGTTTGGAAACATAGTAGATTTTTTAATTCTAATAGAATTAAGTAAATGTTTTATTCGTAGTAGATCCAAAAGGAAGATAATCTTTCCCAAAATAGTTAATGTTTAGTAACCATTTTACGTTTTGTAAATACAACTATAAATTTTATTATTTCTGATTAATCTAGGACTACACTACATTAATTCTATTTTTATAAATCCACAAAAAATTCTGCCATCAAATCTTTCGATATTTTAACAAGACTCTGGCATGAATCCAAGTTGTTCATTAATTAAAACATGTAGAATGATTTGTTGACATATTTTGTTTCAAAACAACAATTAATAATGAAAATGTTTCGGTTCATATTGTGTTTTCTCTTTGTACAAAATAATTACAAACAATTTTACCGACGGTATTTATTGTGAACCAACAAAAGAACCTTGATAGTGCCACCTATTTCGCAGGAAATCAAACCCACCAAATGGATAACAAAATAATCGTTCAACAGTGAATAATCGTTATTAAAAACCTGTATAAAATTTATTTAATATTGTCGTAAACAATTTATGTAGAACAGTATGACTAATTAGTTTCGAACTCGTCACAAAAATTGTCACTATCGCATCCAATTAAACATAAAATCGTTAATTGGATAATAACTATATTTAGATAAAAACTAGAAACAAAATGATTTAGGTTTACTTTAAAATTGCTCATTAAAGTCCAAAGTTAAACACAATTAAAAAGTCAAGTAAATATAACTTACTTTGCTCATAAAACTGGGCGATGGTTTTGATTCCATAGTTCGAAAGTGTACACAAGATCTCAATTATGGCTTCTTCGTCAGTTCCCAATCCGGCAACAGCATCGTGAAGTTCCTTGGCATAAAATTGGGGTAGGGGTGTCATTAAAGCCACAATAACGTCTTCGAACTTTCCCCCTAGTTCACTTTTCAATTCAGAAATCAGATCTTTGCCATATGATGTTTTAAACGTTTCTGCTATTTCGAGTCTTTGAACGATTCCCCTTCTTGCAAGAACGTCAATAATGGCCCTCTCGTCGGTACCAAATCCTTTCATAGCTTTTCGAAGGGTTGCAGCATCGGCAACAGGGTCGAAAGGATCGGCAGGGTAGACTGTGGGAGTACACTACAACAGAGAAAACAAAAAATCGACCAATTATTTTATAACAGGCCTCGTATAACGCAAATTTAAGTATTTTTACATGAAAAAAAACTCAACCTTGAACATTTCACAAGTGACATTGAAGGAATACTCTAAAAATTATTCTTTTAAGAATACACTACACTCTCGCTCTTATAAACTGCGAAAAACAATTTTATCTTTACTTGTTAACACCAGTTAATACGATAGCAATAAACAAGCAAAATTATTTTATGATTCACTGTACTCAAATAGCAATAATAATAATAATAATAATTATAATTTGGAACAAATGCTTTTCGTAAAAACGTTAATTGTATGCTAAATAATTTTCCCGGTACTACAACATCATCATAAATTAATTTTTCTAATCTATTTCAAATAATAGACATATTCATTGTGATTGTAAAACATTTTTATCTGTATNTCTTATTTCTTGTTTTGTTACCATTTATGGTACCTACCATTTCTAGCTTATGTTAAAAGAAAATTAGGAGTCCAATAAAATAATTATCATTATTTTATTGAGGAAAACATCCAGTTCCATTTTATTTTAAAAATTGTATTACTTATAACTTCTATTATCGGTAACAAATATTTTCGTCGCAGAGTACCCAACTTTGGTGAACTACGAGACCTATTTAACTAACAATGTTACACTTTTAGAATCTTATTTCTTGTTTTGTTACCATTTATGGTACCTACCATTTCTAGCTTATGTTAAAAGAAAATTAGGAGTCCAATAAAATAATTATCATTATTTTATTGAGGAAAACATCCAGTTCCATTTTATTTTAAAAATTGTATTACTTATAACTTCTATTATCGGTAACAAATATTTTCGTCGCAGAGTACCCAACTTTGGTGAACTACGAGACCTATTTAACTAACAATGTTACACTTTTAGAATCTTATTTCTTGTTTTGTTACCATTTATGGTACCTACCATTTCTAGCTTATGTTAAAAGAAAATTAGGAGTCCAATAAAATAATTATCATTATTTTATTGAGGAAAACATCCAGTTCCATTTTATTTTAAAAATTGTATTACTTATAACTTCTATTATCGGTAACAAATATTTTCGTCGCAGAGTACCCAACTTTGGTGAACTACGAGACCTATTTAACTAACAATGTTACACTTTTAGAATCTTATTTCTTGTTTTGTTACCATTTATGGTACCTACCATTTCTAGCTTATGTTAAAAGAAAATTAGGAGTCCAATAAAATAATTATCATTATTTTATTGAGGAAAACATCCAGTTCCATTTTATTTTAAAAATTGTATTACTTATAACTTCTATTATCGGTAACAAATATTTTCGTCGCAGAGTACCCAACTTTGGTGAACTACGAGACCTATTTAACTAACAATGTTACACTTTTACCATCTTATTTCTTGTTTTGTTACCATTTATAGTACCTACCATTTCTAACTTATGTTAAACGAAAATTAGGAGTCGAATAAAATAATTATCATTATTTTATTAACGAAAACATCCGGTTCCATTTTATTTTAAGAATTTTACTACTTGTATCTTCTATTATCGATAACTTAAATATTTTTGTCGCAGAGTACCCAACTTTGGTAACTTATGAGACCTATTTAACAAGCAGTGTTGCACTTCTACCAAATTCTACATTAAACGAGGTGATAGAAAATGAATAATAAAAGTATTAAAAGTTAGGAAACTCACCTTAAAAGGGTAGTACTGTTGGTTTGCCATTTTGAACTATTCTTCAATGAAACTAATGCTGCAATTGTGAATAAAAAACCAATTATTACTAACGATAGGTGAGGTCGCACAATCCACTCTTAGTAACAAACTGTTTAATGAGTAACTGTAGGTATTAGTATAAATTTTATAGCATAATATGCACGTTAAAAAACAGTTCTATACTATTCCCCTCACTACAAAACAACTAAATACATCACCGCGCTGATTTTATAATGAATCGATGACATCATTTCTCATGAGTAGGTCTATGTAACATACATTTAACAGTTCGGGGACAAAACATGATTCATTTCATTAATACCAAGAAAGATTTTTCATTTTTACCAAATTATCTGTTTCTGTATTTATTATGTAAAATGTTAATTTTGCAAACGCGGTTATACAATTCCGATAATATCCTCGATCAATAAGTATTAGGTAGGTGTGTAGAGGAGGCAAATTTATTGTCCTCACAGGCAAATGATAAAACAATCGAAGGTCTCAAAAACAATTGCAATATTAATTAATAAATATTTTTCTAAAATGGAGTCTTCAAAATGATAAGGCTGATATATTAACATTTTATTGATAAAATTCTTTTACTAATCGCTCTAATTAAGTAATTTTAATTGTATGAAAGATAAAAAACTTTCCACACCATGATTTTCCGGTAAATACTTGCTTACAGTTTACATGAAACCACTCCCTTTCCTTCATATTATCATCTCTAAAAATAGGCCCACGAAAATATGTACCTACTCCTTTCTAATAGGCCCACAAAATTTTCTACCCAACAATAGTAAAAAAATGAAAAAAATATGTTTTATACCTATCTAAAATAAAAAGAGGTCAAACAAATTTGCTTTCAAAAAATCACACAGCGGTCAAGAGTCAACTTACACACACACACACACATGCATGTTAAATTCTGAAACCCTAAATATATAAATTTAAATTTAGAAATGGGCCCAATTGGTCACACCCTTTACAAATTGCTCGCGATATATTTCAATTTTATCTCAAATGGGAATGGAAAATTGCTTATTCTACTTACATTTTCCTCGTAACTGGCACAGGTTGTACGACAGCTATGTGTGTTCAAAAGCAGCAACACCCAACTAATGTATGACCCAACAACCAACTTAATATGTTGAGAGAAGCCGGCTTGAGAAAACCAACGAAAAGTAAACGCGGTTCTTGCCTGTACGCTGGGTAAACTTTACGTTAAATTGTACAAAAGGCAAGGTTGTGAGCTCCAACAAGAGTTTTACTTTGCTTTTGCTTTGCTTCGCTTTACTCCTCGTCCTCGATGCACATTCCTTCTCTGACTATCGAGTAAAAAATAACCATGTCAAGGTTGTCTTATTAAACAAAAAAATCGCTCTGCGAAAATTTTTCATTAACTTGTAAGCGATCACGATAAAAATTTATAAAGGAAGAGCTTTTCCAAAAGAATTTGTAGGTACTTTTGTCAATTTTGACTTAAAGCGACTAAATAATGTCGGAGAGAAAAGGTGAAACATCAAATAAAATCAATATCCAGGACTTTAAAGCTAAAAGCTTCTAAAAGGACTAAAGCTTTTTTGATCGTCTTGATTTAGTCATTCTTAGAAAACAGAACTTTTCTTTATTTTATCTTTTTTTACTGTTTAGGACTTTATAAAATTCATATTATACTTCTCATAGGCTAGATTATAATCGTCATTATTTTTTTTCTGCCCTTTTAAATTCAATATTTTCCTTTTCATGGACTAGATAATAATTTTAATTCTTTAATTCCCGAATTTAATTGCTTATCGATATTTTACTTTTCATTGGTTCTGTTTGGCAAAATTCGATTTAATTTTAATATTATATATAAAAGGAAATTATGAATGCAGTCAGCACGGTGCAAAGTCGTATTACGTAAGTGAATGTTAGTATCAACAATTTCTTATCCTGCAGTGTACGATGTGTTGCATACCTATTTACAAACGATTCCTTTAAATTTTAATCATTGATTATTATACATCTATTNATTACTATACATCTATTAAAAAACCATAATGGCCGACATCAGTAACAATGCGACAACAATTGAAAAAGAATGATGGCCGACAACAGCAACAATTAGAAAAGAATGATGGCCGACAACTGCAACAATTAAAAAAGAATGATGGCCGACAACAGCAACAATTAGAAAAGAATGATGGCCGACACTACGTCATAATATTGTTCACAAAAGTGAATTTCGACCACTCGAAGCAATGGAGCTAACAATTTCGAGCTTACAGTGACTAATAGTGGGGAAAAACTAGTTTAGTATAATAATTCTTTTAGACTGATTCAATTTTATGGTAAGAGTTACGCGATTTTGAGTTTTTTGCACATATAGACACATGTACCTACTTCTCATTTGATGCTCACAAAATGCAAAAATTTCACTTAAGTATTTTAATTATACATGCGTGAGCTGGAAGACAAGTCGTTCCGCACCCTTTTTCAATGAGCGTAAAATTCCTAAACCTTTAATTAACTATGTGGTAAATGTACGTTCGACCAAACAAATTGCTATTAAGTATATACGTTTCCCTAATATTGGAGAAAACGCTGTTGAAAATGAAAAAATTACGCAAGAAAATTTCAATACTCGGTATATTGTTGGAAGTAAATTATTATAAAAACAATAACGTTAACATATGTTTGTAGCAAAATAACCAGAATCCACAGATGAAATATTTGCATAAATGTACAAAAGAAATACCCGTGTAAATGACCTACAAAAGTTACTATAATTATATGTATATATGGTAGCAAAAAAGAAAAAAAACATGCAAAACTTTATTTTTTTATATATATGTATATATAAATAAAAGACACGTCTCCAAATTACAATTATATACTGCACGTTGTTGTTGTTGTTATATCTCGTTTATCCTTCCAAATATTTATTTAATTTAAAGAACAAAAACAAGCAATTTACTCCTCCAAGAAGAAATAATTTCCTGACCGTTTTTGTTCAACATCTTTGACGGATTCGAGTTTGTTGATTCTCGGTCTGAAGTTGTTCGGATCCCTTCGAAAAGTGATTCCCAGCAACTCCAGGAATTTATTCATGCCCGCTAGTAACGTTTGGGGGGTATGGGCAATGGTATTGACCGACGGTGTACCCTCGAAAACGATAACACGGTCCGCCAAGTAAGTTGCCATTATAAAGTCGTGTTCCACCACGAAACCCGTCTTTTTCGCATGTAAAATAAATCTGTAACACACAATTACAATTATTATCAATTTTCTTCATAATACAACTATTACATCGTTCGCAGATAACGTGATTATCAAGCGACACACACATTTTACACATGTTTTGTTTTCATGTGTAAAATTATTGTACATTCCAAATTCCATTATTTGTTTTTAATAAAATAAGAAATATTTAACTATTACGATCGTTGGCCTCAGTACGGCCCTTATATCTGCGCTCGACACACAACCCTTCATTATTACTAACCTTTTTATTACTTTGGCAGCAACAAGACGTTGTTCAGAATCCAAATAAGCACTTGGCTCATCAACAAGGTAAACATCAGCTGGTTTACCCAAACACAACACCATGGCTACTCTCTGGAGCTCACCACCAGATAAATTTTGCACCTCCTGATCCATTATGTCATCTATTCGCAGAGGTTTCATCACATCAGTGATAAACTGAGGATGAACATAAGCATCTCGAATTTTTTCGTGAAGCAACTGCTGAACAAGCCCCTGGGACTTTGGACTTATCTTCTGAGGTTTGTAACTTATATGTAGTTGTGGCAATTCCCCTAATATTAATATAAGTAAGTGAACAAATTATTTCAAAAAGGAAAACGTTGCAAATAAGAAGTAAAATTACCTGAACCATCATCTGGTTGCAAATTTCCTGCTAACATTCTAATAAAAGTAGTTTTCCCAGTACCATTTTCTCCTAATAAAACTAAAATTTCGGAATCAGAGAACTGGCCCTTTTCCACCTGTAATCTAAACGAGCCCATCGTTTTAACCATTGCAGGATACTCATAGTGGCTTATACGTTTCACTTCCTCCTCTGCTGCAGAGTCTGACACCTTAAATACCAAAGATTCGTCTCTAAATCTTAAATTTTCTGTCGGAACGAAGCCATCCAAAAATATATTGATACCTGTCATAAAAAAAATATAATTTGAAATAACTTATCAAAAATTATTCTTAAAAATCTAAATTTAACTTTTTTTTGCAAAAACAGAATTCCTTACTCAATACAAAACAAATATAACTTGTGGTGATTCTAAATTAGATTTTGATAGCAAATTGTATTTTAAATTCAAAAATTGTTTAAAATACCTTCACGAACAGAGAAAGGCATAGTAACAACTCCATAAGCACCTGGTACCCCATATAAACAGCAAATAAAGTCTGATAAGTAATCAAGAACACTCAAGTCGTGTTCAACAACAATAATAAATCTGAAAAATATAAATATATTAAAAAACAAAATTAAAATTAAAAAGTATCAATTACTTATCAGGGTGAAGCAATGATCTAATAGTCCTGGCAGCATTCAACCTTTGCTTAACATCAAGATAAGATGAAGGCTCATCAAACATAAAAATGTCACCATTTTGAATGCATACCATTGCACAAGCAAATCTTTGCAGTTCCCCTCCAGATAAAGCAGAAATTTCACGATCTGTGATGTTCTTTAGATCTAAAACATGACAGAAAAATACTACTAACTCTGCTACAGTTAGGAAAAAAGTACCAAGCATATCACAAATATCTTCCAGATTATTCATTTCAGATTTCTTGTTCAAAAGTTGTGTTACTGTCCCTTTCACAGCCTTAGGTATCTGATCAACATACTGTGGTTTTATCAATGCTTTCAAGTCATCCTCTAAAATTTTGGTAAAATAGTTTTGCAACTCAGAGCCACGGAAATGGTTCAGAATTTCTGTCCAGTCAGGGGGATCCTAGATGCCATAAGATGCTTATTATAACAAATAAAATAAATTAAAAGATAACTAACCTGAAAACGACCCAAATTAGGTTTCTGTTTTCCTGCTAAAATCTTCAGAGCAGTTGACTTTCCTATACCATTGGTCCCCACTAATCCTAGGACTTCTCCAGGTCTTGGAATTGGCAATCGATGTAACTTAAAGGAGTTCTTGCCATATCTATGAGTAGTGTCTCTTTCCAAATTACTAGGTAAATTTATAATTGTAATAGCTTCAAAAGGACATTTCTTAAAAAAAGATGAAATTAGCATCAATTTAATGTTTAAAAGCTTTGCTTTTCTAAACTTAACATAAGTTAACTTACTTTGACACATATACCACATCCTATGCACAATTCTTCCGAAATAGAAGCTATTTTACTATTAGGACTAACTTCTATGCAGAGCTTTCCCATCCTAACAACTGGACATGACTTCTTGCATTCCTGCCGGCATCGTTTGGGCTTACACTTATCAGCGTTAACGATTGCTATCCTAGTTAATTTATCTGTTTCTTCAGTTGCTCTTCGTCTAGACATTCTGCTATTACTTCTAAAGTAGATAACAAAATTTAGTTCATGCTGATCAGACACATAACCTTATGCATATGTTTCCATTTCTTCACAATTTCTTACAATTTTCAAAACATATTCATCAATTATTTAAATAAGTCAAGGTTCTATTTAAGCAAATTTACAATCCTACTTTGAAATGCTGACCTTTATATGAGATATTAACTTAAAATTAATATTTTCCCATCGATTTTACAACATACACAACCTCAACACCATTCGAAAAGACAGACGAGACCCATAGATGGGAGAAGAGCCAAGTCATAGATAAACCCATAGGATAAACCCTTCCAATTCCTTATCCATAGATAAATTCATTGACGTTCATTCAAAACCATAAATAAAGTTAGTCGTTGGTGAATTACACTGAATTGCATTAAATTTTGACTCAAATTTTATTAACTTTGCTAACCATTTCATTGTAAATTTTGTTATTTTCAAAGGTTAAAATATTTACCACATACGTTTTATATTAAATTGTTAAGATGCATTATGTTTGTCGGTTATATAACCACATACAAATTTTAAAAATGTAAATTATCTATGGTAGGAAGTGTACTATTATCTATGGTGCACTGTTTTTAGGTTAAGGATAGCACAATATTCTTAAAAAAATTAATTATTTGCTAATATCGTAAATAAATTGATTATTATTTATAAAAATTAACAGCGGTACGTTTTTATTTCCTGGTGTACATATTACAGTTACACAAAAGTATCTTGAGATGGCCAAAGTGGACATGGAATTGAAAAAAGTAAGTTTAACTAAGTGCATATATTTAAATTTAACTCTAATAATCAATTTATTTGCAGGCTTTCGCCGAATTACAGGAAAAGGCTATTGACACGACTCAAAAACTGAAATTAGCCGATCTTCAAATAGAAAGTTTAAAGAGAATGAAACAACATTCTATTCTAACTGAGCGGTACATAAATATCTAATATTTAACATTAATTAAAAGGCATTCCTTATAAGTATTGATTTTTTTCTAGTGAAATCTCAACTCTAGATAATGACACTAAAACTTTTGAATCTGTTGGTCGAATGTTTATCTACACCCCACTGCCAGAAATAAAGGAAAAGTTAAAAAAACGTCAAGCCCTTGCAGATGAAAAGATTAAAATTGAAGAAAACAATAAACAATACTTAGAAAAAAATTTAAAAGAAGCTGAAAATAATTTAAGAGAATTAGTTCAGCAGAGAAAAGATGCACATGAATAAACCTTTTTGTTTACTTTTATAGATATTATTGAAGAACATTATTCAAGCTAATGACTATATTTAGCATTACAAAAAAATTAATTAAGTTGTGTTAATATGTTTTTTTTTATTATTTATTAAAAACTAGTCCATAGCCAGATAAGTATGGACCAACCTTTCCTCAAGCTAAGTCTCAGAATTCATATGTAAAATCCATGCTTATCTGAGTATGACTTTAACTAACATTTCTGTGTGCAAACGAGTTTTATAACTAACTGCATTATATAGTAATTAGTTTTGATAACATTTTAATTATATACATTATGAATTGATATCTACATAATTTTACTTCTATAATAATTTCTCAGTTAAATAAAAAAGAAATTAAGAAATGATGTATAATTTGAACCTTAATAACATTAAGAAATAGTGCTAAGAATAGTTAATTATGCTTTTATGAAGCTTTTGTGGAGGAGCATTTCATTTCATTAAATTAATGGTATACATGTATGTAAAGGTCAAAAAATTCAAAAGTCGTCGTGGCAGTGTTCACAAGAGTAAAAGTAAACTTACTTCCCAGTTGTTTAGCCATAAATATATGAATTTATCGTTTTAATTAAAAGGTATCTAGTAGATATTATATTTGCATATGAACTTTATCTTCTTAATCTGTTTACATTACACTTGATTTTCTTAATGCTTTATTTATGACTATTTCTCTCTAATATTAATATGAAAAGTTTGGTTTCTATTCTATACAGTCAAATATTTATTTTATTTAAAAAATGAATTGCTCGTTATTTTTAAGCCAGGTAATAAAAAGTTTCAAGGTGCTTGTTGAAATGAACTTAATAAAATTAAAAAAACTTTTAGGTGCAAATTTTAATGCACGCTCAACAAATAAAACTAAATGAAGCAGATCCAAATGATGATAAAAATATGTACAACTGGCTAAGAAATAAAAAATACGATTTAACTTGGATTTCTTTGAGGCACGAATTTCTAATAAGACAAGCCCTTACAAAGGTATGATGCACTTTTGTTGTTACTTTCGTACCTTCAATATGTTTAGATTTTCTAATATTTTTTGCGCTTTTTGTAGATATCCTCAGATCAACAGACTGCAGTTATTAAAGAACTAGTAAATTACACTGAAAGTAATGAGAATTTAGATCCATCAAGGATTCCAGAAATATGCTTAGACATATTAAACAAGACCATCACTTCTGAGATAGTGCAAACAGAAAGCTTAAGACGTGCCAGCACATTCAGAAGAAGTATCCGGATGTCTATAAGATCCAATAGAGTCTCTCCAAGTACTTTAATGATGCGTACTGATCAAAACAACGAGAAGAAATCGGTAACATTTTGTGAAAATCCTAAAATTTATTCTATATACAACTAAAAAGGGGGAAAACGTTCACACCAATCTAAAATCTCTAATTTTCTTTAAGTATTTACAAGGCAGTCTGTTTTTCACAATTATTCTGTTCATAAAAGAACACTAAATTAAAATTAAAATATAGTTTCTGAATCAAGATTCAAAATAGTTGGAAACCACACAAATGAATCGCCAAATTAAAATACACCTGTGACAGAGAAAAGCTCTACTTTTTAAATTAAATTGAAACGTATAATTTCCTTTACTAAAACAGAGTTAAAAAGATAATTTGAAAAATGACTTCCTAAAGTTCTTCTTTACACAAAAGTGAATCTTATTGTTAGTAAAAGTTGTAGATATAAACTATGACTTTATATTGTAATCAAGTGTCTTGTAGCCTTTATGTATTATTAATCAACTAATTTCTAAAATAAAAGGCACATTTCCAACACACAAATTATTTATTCCTGTACAAATATTCCATACTATTTGTAATAGTAAATTCTGGAATGTTTAAACAATTGCTTTCATATCACTGTACAAATTATAATAAAAACGTGTGCTTCATTTTAAATGCAAACATTAGACAAGACTGTTAAATTATTACTTTATGTAAATGCTACAGACATAAACGTCCTTATTTAATAGCACAACACAATTTTTACTGTTTGTAACTGATAAAACTTTTGTTAAAACCCACTAAATATCTAACATAATATATTATGGAAAACAGAAGTAAATTATAAGAATAACAATGAATTATTGAGAAAACAAGAAAATATCTTTTACTTTACATTACTTAGATACCACTTAAATATTAGTATTGTGCCCATGTTTATGCCATTCGAATGGACTGGATAATTTGGAAAACAGCAGACCCACATACAACAAAAATAAATAGAGCTAAAAGCCACGGTCCAACAGGATAGTTTTCATCTTGCGGCCTCTAAAATTCAAAAAAAGATTTATTAACAAAACACACGTATCTATCTGATGCATGACTGCCAGCAGGTACAATATGGTACAAAATACTTACAGATGATTTTGGTACATTTCCTCTATTTACAACGTTTTTACTAGCTTTTTCGTTTGCAAGACGCATTCTTTGTTTGGGGGCCATAGTACTTTTTTCTTAGTTCAATTTCAAATTTTTAAAATTAAAATTAATTCTAGAAAAACTTTGCACGTCGTTGCAGCACCCGTCAAAAATAATCAACAAATACAAGTGTCCGTCATATTTATAGTTTCTCTATGAATGTCTATGAATAAGATCATAGAGAAATATGAATATTACAAATTTGAAAGGTAGATTCTTTTTTTTCCATTTTGTTTAAAAATGAAAAAACTGTTAAATAATACTATAATTTACATCGTACCTAATATTATAACATGCTCACATAATAATTTAATTATTGGTATTATTATTTTAATTGTATTCTTTTTCTTTATTATTAATACTTTCTTGTATTATCACATCTATGTACGTGTATTAGATTACCTTGTAAAATTAAGAAAACCGCATAATTATCACTTTAATGAACTGAACTGTAAATTCAGGTTTATTATGTATCTCTGATTCAAAAATTTGACCATAGTTAACCATAGACATTTGACCTTGAAAAAAATAACTTAACCCTAGTTTTAAACGTTTTTTTCTTGCACATAAACATGTAATATTCAAAAATTTAATCAAATAATTTACGTTTTGCAGTGTTATTTTGTATTAGAAGCAAAAAATTAAAAGATACTCATACATCATTGTATCGTATCCTTTTTTCGATATGCCTAAAGAACAGTACAGAGAGGCTGACGTAGCTAGGAAAATGTAACATAGTTGAAATTTCTCATATCTCGATGTAATAATGTTGATCTTTTTAGTTCCTACGTTAGTTTTGGAATCGAAAGTGCTGAAAATATGCAGCAACAAGCTCATTTACAAGTGATTGCTAAAAATCTATATAATCAAGATGTTAATCGTACACCTGTCCCATTTGGCGTGTTGGATCCTAAAATGGTAAGAATTTTAAAACGTATGTGTACCCAAAAACTAAATTTCAATTTTAGGGAACAAATCAAAAAGATTCCCCTTGTCAAACCTGTGGAAAGAATTTAAATGAATGTGTTGGGCATTTTGGTTATCTTGATCTCGAACTTCCTGTATTTCATGTTGGTTATTTTCGCAGTATTATTACAGTTTTGCAGTCTATTTGCAAAAAGTGTGCCCATATTTTACTTGATAAGAATGAACAAAATTTATTTCGGTCAAAGATATGCAATCCTAATCTAAGTTATATGATAAAAAAGTCCCTTAGAAAACGAATTATTGATAAATGTAAGAAGATAACCATTTGTCCACATTGTAAGGAGTGTAATGGAGTGGTTAAAAAAATGCCATCTGTTAAAGGAGGTGTAGGTGGTTCAGTTCTCAAAATTGTTCATGAAAAATACAGACATAAACGTGACAAAGACACTGTAATTAAAACTCAAGTTGGTAAATAACTCATTATTTAAGAAATTTTATTCTTTTTTTTATATTCTGAATTTTTAAGCTGAATTTAATGAAGCAATAGAATCAAACCCTGAGATCCAGTCAGTTTTATCAAGTGCAACAATTACTCAAGTCTTAACACCTATAGATGTTCTAAACCTATTTCAAAGAATCCCTGAGGAAGATATTCCTTTATTGGCCATGGATGCAAAGCGGTAACAATCGAAATATTAAATAATACTTTATTTTCCTATAATTCTTCATATACTACAATCTAATCCCACATTTTCATAGAGCTCATCCCAAAGACTTAATTTTTACCAGAATGTTAGTTCCACCAGTTTGCATTAGACCATCTGTAGCATCAGATATAAAAGCTGGAACGTAAGTCTGAGAAATCAATCTTAAATTCCCTTTTTACCCGTTGAAAGTGCCATTCAGAGTTCATTGTAATGTTCTGTTTTAGTAATGAAGATGACTTGACAATGAAACAATCAGAAATTATTTTTATTAACGACGTAATTAAGAAACATAAACAATGTGGAGCATCAGTAAATATGTATCAGGAAGGTTGGGACTTCTTACAATTGCAAACTGCCCTTTACATCAACAGCGAACTTTCAGGAATTCCGTTAGCAATGATGGTAATAAACCAAATCTGTTTCGCCTTAATGACTATTGTTTTAATAATACATTTTATACATATAGCCCAAGAAACCAGGTCGTGGACTTGTGCAGAGATTAAAAGGGAAACAAGGCAGATTTCGTGGTAATTTGTCAGGAAAAAGGGTCGATTTCTCTGGAAGGACAGTAATTTCTCCTGATCCTAATTTAGAGATCGATCAGGTACTTCTTTTTACTTTCTATTTTTCTTATTTTCACTATTCAGTTTTATTGTATTTACAAATCCAGGTGTGTATTAAAATGTGTTATTTGTTAACAGGTTGGTGTGCCCTGCCATATGGCAAAAATCTTAACATTTCCTGAATTTGTAAATCGAGCTAATGTTCATTTGATGAAACAATTAGTAATAAATGGTCCAGACATTTGGCCAGGAGCAAATTATGTACAGCAAAAAGGCTCGCAGTTCAAGAAGTTTTTAAAATATGGTAACAGGCAGAAACTTGCACAAGAATTGAAGGTAAAACCATTTTACTTTATTTTATTTACTTCCAATACAAAATTTTACATATTAATTTATATTATTTTTTTTCTACTACTACTCTACTTTTTACATTTTTAATATTCTTAATAATTTTCTGTTTTTTTTTTTCTTTCAGTATGGTGACATGGTCGAGCGGCACCTTTGTAACAACGACGTAGTTTTATTTAATCGTCAGCCAAGTTTGCACAAACTATCAATTATGGCACATAGAGCAAAAATACATTACCACCGAACCCTCAGGTACATATATATTTAACACTGTCGCGTAATATAACAACTTTCGCACTTTGAATAATTAATAACTCGCTCACCACTATATCACCCATTGATTCACTTCTTCGCTCTTCTTATTCCGCTTTATATGGCATCGTAACTGTAACTATTTTTCTTCTGACATTTCGGCAACTATTTATAGAGACTAGGCTTATTCTAGAAAGATTTCACTCCAAAATGTAGGTTCTGCATGTATCCTACCGTAATCTCATCAACGTAATATAGGCCACCCTGACGCTTTTAATATAATAATTAAAAAAAGATTTTAGCTCTACGTTTATTCGTACTGTCAATAGTCGGCCATTTTTATTGTTTCACTATGACGTAGTGTCGGCCATCATTCTTTTCTAATTGTTGCTGTTGTCGGCCATCATTCTTTTTCAATTGTTGCTGGTGTCGGCCATCATTCTTTTCTAATTGTTGCTGTTGTCGGCCATCATTCTTTTTCAATTGTTGCTGTTGTCGGCCATCATTCTTTTCTAATTGTTGCTGATGTCGGCCATCATTCTTTTTCAATTGTTGTTGCATTGTCACTGATGTCGACCATTATGGTTTTTTAATAGATGTGTAATAATCAATGATTAAAATTTAAAGGAATTGTTCACTTCAGCCTAAGAAATTGTATTTCCTTTACTTAACTTTATATTAATTCAAAAATTTAAAATACAGCAAATATTGCACCAATTTGTCTTTTAGCTATCAATATTGTACTTTTTCGGTAATATCAAATTTTTATTTCTTTGAAGTTTGAAGATAGATATTTTAAATTATGTCCTAAGTAATAAAAATAATAATACTTAAAGGTTAATGTTATTTTTGTAATATTTTTATAAAACTTTTGTCATTGCTTTTATTAGGTTTAACGAATGTGTATGCACTCCATATAATGCTGATTTTGATGGGGATGAAATGAATTTACATTTACCGCAGACGTACGAAGCCAAAGCTGAAGCTCTCATACTTATGGGGGTAAATACTTTTAAAAATGAACTTTGAAGTCAAAGTCGTTTTATGATTTTTCATTCTACTTTTTAGAATAAAAGCAATCTCGTAACGCCAAGAAACGGAGAACTCTTAATAGCTGCAACACAGGACTTCTTAACAGGAGCATATTTACTTACTAAAAAGGATACTTTCCTGGACTATCCACACGCTACTCAACTGGCAGCTACTTTATTGGCAGGAAATGATGAAAATATGGACATTGATTTGCCTCCTCCAGCCATTCTTAAGGTAAGAATTTTTTTATTGTAATTTAGAGTTTAAGCTCTTAAAAAAAAATGTTTTTATTAATAGCTGTATTCTTTTAAATGATATTATATTTTTCTTTATTAGCCTAGAAGATTATGGACAGGCAAACAAGTGTTCAGTTTAATTTTGAAACCAAATAAACACTGTCCTGTTAAAGCTAATCTTGAAGCCAAAGGAAAGGCCTACACTAAAAATAAGGAGCTTTGTGTTAAAGATTCTTATGTACTTATTCGTAATTCTGAATTAATTGCTGGAACTTTGGATAAAGGTCATTTGGGGTCTGGTGGAAAGGGAGGAAACATTTTCTTTATATTGCTAAGGGACTTTGGACAAGATCATGCCATTAAAGCTATGTGGAGATTAGGTAAATTATATATATATATAAAACTAGTTCTTCCCCCCTATCAGTCACTGTGAGCTCGAAACTGTTCGCACCATTGCTTCAAGTGGGAAGAACTAGTTTTATCATAAAAGTATTATTTTGTTTATAATCTTATGTATATATATGAAGCTTTCAGTAATTATTAATTTCTAAACTAATTATTTAGCAAGATTGTCGTCAAATCTATTAATGAACACTGGATTTTCGATTGGAATTGGCGACGTTACACCAGGTGAAACATTAGTTCAACGTAAAAATAAATTACTTTCATCAGGGTGAGTTAAACAAATTTAATTTTTTTCTTTGAAAGTAGGTAATGTTAAAAATATAATGTGTGTTAAAGATATAAAAAATGTGATGAATACATAAGGGCGATGGCAGAAGGAAAGCTCGCTTGTCAACCAGGATGTAATGAAGAGGAGACTTTGGAAGCAGTTATTTTGAAAGAATTATCAGTTATTAGAGAGCATGCGGGGCAGGCTTGTGTAGCCGAATTACATCCAACAAACAGTCCCCTCATAATGGCACTTTCAGGATCGAAAGGTACATACATAAATGCCCTGTTTTTAAAACAAATGAATAGCACTGTACGTTTTATGTACAGATAATAAAAACGTTTTCTTTATATACTTTAATTAATACTGTTTTGTATGCAGAACTAAGTAAATTGTTCTTTTAGGTTCTTTTATCAATATCTCTCAAATGATAGCATGTGTAGGTCAGCAAGCCTTAAATGGAAAACGGGTTCCCAACGGTTTTGATGACAGGTCGTTGCCCCACTTTGAAAGATTCTGTAAGTCTCTTTAACTAAGTTAAAAAATTATTTTGTTTATTAATAAATTGTACTATATTGCAGCTAAAACTCCTGCTGCTAAAGGATTTGTTGAAAACAGTTTTTACACAGGCTTAACGCCAACAGAATTTTTTTTTCACACAATGGGAGGCAGGGAAGGTTTGGTTGATACCGCCGTCAAAACTGCAGAAACAGGGTACATGCAAAGAAGATTAGTAAAAGTTAGTTTTAGTGAATTTAATTAAATTCGATATTTAACAGTATATCTGTTTTGTTTGACAGTCTTTAGAAGATCTAGTCATACATTATGATGGTACCGTTCGGAATGCTGAAGAAGATGTTATTCAAACAGTTTACGGTTGTGATGGATTAGATCCCACATACATGGAAGGTATATTTTAATATCTCTTATTCCTTTTATATGCTTATGAAAAATTTCTGTAGTTTAAAAAGTTATTGCCACATTATTTAAATTAATATTCAGGTAAGGATTGTCCTGTTGATTTTGAACGAGTTTTACATCACATTCAAGCCAAGTGTCCATACAGAGATGAAACTCCGTTAAATGGAAATCAAATAAGAAAAGCTGCCAACGCTTTCCTAAAAACCGATGCTTTAAGCGAATGCATAGACGATTTTAGAAATGAATTAAGGTTTGTTAGTTACTACAGAATAAATTTCTAATTTTTATTATATTATATGGCCTTTAGAAATTTTATGGAATTGTATGCAAAAAAAGTTGAAGATACACATGAAAAATTCGGTTCTGCAAAAGTCGTGAACGAAGTACACCGTTTAACTTGCAGCCAACTGGTGACTTTTATGCAGACTTGCGGACAGAAATATACCAGGGCAATTATAGAACCAGGAACTGCTGTAGGAGCCCTGGCCGCGCAAAGTATAGGAGAGCCTGGAACTCAAATGACACTTAAAACTTTTCACTTTGCTGGTGTCGCAAGTATGAACATAACACAAGGAGTTCCAAGGTAAATATTTTTTTGAACAGTACTCTACTGATTAATTTGTTTTACTTTTTTGTTTCCAGAATAAAAGAAATTATAAATGCCAGTAAAAATATAAGTACGCCAATTATAAGAGCGAGTTTAAAAAATCCCCACGATCCAGAATTTGCCAGAAAAGTAAAAGTGCGTATTGAAAGAACAACTTTAGGAGAGGTATTGATTGATTGCTTTATTCACGATGAAATTGTTTTATATAATTATTCTTCTGATTAAGGTTACTTCATACATCGACGAAGTATACACAAAAAGCGACTGCTTCTTATTAATTAAACTCGACTATGAACGCATAAAATTACTACAGTTAGAGGTCAGCGCAGAAAGTATAAGATACAGGTAATTGTTTAATAGAAATATTATTTGCTCGTTTAAATATGATATCGTTTTAGTCTTTGTACGTCGAAGTTAAAATTAAAACCTAACGATATTAAAGTAGAGAGTGAAACAATAATTACTATTCACCCAAATAGAACAAAAAATCTTAACCGCTTAAACTTTTCTTTACATGAAATTAAAGAACAAATTCCATCCGTTGTTATCAAAGTAAGTACCCATGTAATCATCATCACAAAATCATCGGTGAAATATTGCATATTCTTAAAACTACAACATAGGTTAAAAATAATAATCTAATCCAGTCTTTCCTCTCCCCCCTTTTCCTCCTGTTTCTGTTACTAGCCCTTCGTGTTTTACTATTCTACCCCCTCCCTTTCCTTATTGGGACCACCTTATTGTCTTCAACAACCCTCCCATTTCTAATTTTTTTTTAACTTTAATTACATTATTTATTTTTTAGGGTTTACCCACCGTCAATAGGGCAGTTATTGCCAGGGAAGATAAAGGGGGTGAATCATATTATAATTTGTGCGTGGAGGGTGATAATTTAAGGGAAGTAATGGCCACATATGGTGTTGATGGACACAAGACAGTCTCAAATAATATCATGGAAGTTTATCATACACTAGGAATTGAAGCTGCAAGGTTTTTCTTATATTTTTTACTTTAACAATTTGTAATTATTCAAATTTCTTTATTGTAGACAAACAATAATGCAGGAAATTAAAATGGTTATGGAAAATCACGGTATGAGCGTAGACTATCGGCATATAATGTTGCTAGCAGCACAAATGACCCACACTGGAGAAGTCTTGGGCATTACCAGACAAGGTTTAGCAAAAATGAAACAGTCAGTCTTAAATTTAGCATCGGTAAATATTATATATAAAAGAAATAATGAGTGGTGTCAGCACAGAGCTAAATAGTATTACGTAGTTAGTATCGGCCATTTCTTATGCTGAAGTGTACGATGTGTTGCATACTTCTTTTCAAACAATTCCTTTAAAATTTAATCATTGTTTACTATATATCTATTAAAAAACCATAATGGCCGACATCAGTAACAATGCGACAACAATTGAAANTATTTTATCTTTTTTTACTGTTTAGGACTTTATAAAATTCATATTATACTTCTCATAGGCTAGATTATAATCGTCATTATTTTTTTTCTGCCCTTTTAAATTCAATATTTTCCTTTTCATGGACTAGATAATAATTTTAATTCTTTAATTCCCGAATTTAATTGCTTATCGATATTTTACTTTTCATTGGTTCTGTTTGGCAAAATTCGATTTAATTTTAATATTATATATAAAAGGAAATTATGAATGCAGTCAGCACGGTGCAAAGTCGTATTACGTAAGTGAATGTTAGTATCAACAATTTCTTATCCTGCAGTGTACGATGTGTTGCATACCTATTTACAAACGATTCCTTTAAATTTTAATCATTGATTATTATACATCTATTAAAAAACCATAATGGCCGACATCAGTGACAATGCCACAACAATTGAAAAAGAATGATGGCCGACAACAGCAACAATTAGAAAAGAATGATGGCCGACAACTGCAACAATTAAAAAAGAATGATGGCCGACAACTGCAACAATTAGAAAAGAATGATGGCCGACACTACGTCATAGTATTGTTCACAAAAGCGAATTTCGACCACTCGAAGCAATAGTTCTAACAGTTTCGAGCTCACAATGACTGATAGGAGGGAAGAACTAGTTTAATTTAATTTTTTTAAATTCGTAATTGATAATTACATGCTTCTTTTCAGTTTGAGAAAACTGCAGACCATTTATTTGATGCAGCTTATTATGGGCAATCGGACAAAATAAGTGGAGTATCAGAAAGCATAATTATGGGAATGGCAGCCCCTATTGGGACTGGAATCTTCAAATTGCTCCATAAACCACTGGAAGTTGATGATAACCCGGAGAAGGTTCCCCTACTCTTCGAAAATGCAATTGAATCATAGGAAAGGTAGATTTTTATTTTTTTAAAAATTATCTAAATCGTTTTTGTACGATTTTTTTTAATAATACTTAATAAGCGAATATTCCGTCAATTATTTAATTATCCCTTTAACTTTGAAAAAAATTAATTTTTCGGAATATTAATTCCAAAGAAAAAAGACGGTATAACTTCGTGATATTTTTAAGATTTTTATTGAAGGTTTAATACTATCAACAACTGTACATAAAATTCGCGTCCACTGGAATTTGAAAAAAAAAGGTACACGCTTAAATATTTGCGCATGATTTTTATACAATTAATGCCTAATAAATATACAACATAATACCTTTTAGAAAGGAATGTATACCACATATAATGGCTTTTAGCATTATTAAGAAAGAAAAACTATTGAATATTTTCTAACAACTTTTTTACACATATGTATAGACATGTATGTATGATAAAAGCACCTTAATCGGTAAATTTGCGATTTGCGTTACGTCCAAACAGTGCTGTACGAATTTGGGGAAGAAGTTGTGCAGAAATAAGTCCAAGACGGGCTTCTAAGGTGTTGCTTATCTTTATCCTTCCACCATGAGCATATAATTCGATTCCTCCAGTGGTGTCAGCTGGAAGATTATTTTCTGGGTCGACTTTTAAAACAACTTCTTTGCCTATGGCATCCTTGTACTTCTTAGAAACGTCTGGTAATAACGATTCCACAAGAGCCTTGTCCTGTGCTCGAACTCTTACAGACACGTTGGTTTCAAATAACTTTTAATGCAAGAACCAATTAATAAGGTGATTTTTTGTTACAATTTGTATAATATTACCTGATAGAGACCCTGAAGAATTAGGGATTTCAAAATTTCACTATATTTTGGAGTATTGCGAGTTACTTCACCTAGCCTTTTGCGAGCATCATCAAGGACTTGATATACATGATCTTCTCTTACCTTTAAAACCTTTAGACGGGCCTGATTCAACATGTTTGAGGATTGACTGTAATAAATAAAATCAGTGAAATAATAGTGAAGAATAACTCTCATAAATACATTTTCTTTTGCAGTTCTACTTGTTTTTCCTTCTTTTCATAATACTCCATTATTTTCAGGCGTTGTTGTTGAACAAGACGTCCTTTCTCAATATTAAATTCCTCTTCAGCTTTAGCATCAATTTCTTCAGCCTTTTCATTGGCCTCTTGCTCAATGAAGGCCATCATGTGCTTGATCTAACAAATCAAAGTTAAATTAATTCGTTTAGAAATATAAGTAACTAACGATAAAATGGATGTAGATGATCAAAACTTTGTTAGAATACATTGGACCTAAATAATCATCATTACTGGTTATTTGGGTCTCAAAAATACTATGCTCACATTTCACTTTAAAAGTTGAAAATAAAATTCACTTACCTGTTTCTGAACATCTGCGTCGCTTAAAGCCATGATTGTGGTTTATTTTAGGGAATTATTTCTAAAATGATTGACTATTTTGAAGAATAATCTTGACAACGCCTTTACAAGAACCACTCGTTGTAATAGAGGCAAATTGACAGTTCATCATATGATTATATTCACATGACATGACAGTCGAATAATCGCCACCTATTAAAAACTGCGTGTACTATATGTAATTTATTTAGTAGCTACCTCACTTGAGATGGCGCTGAGCAAATGTTAGATACAGGATGATTATTTTAATTTGGTAATGTTATATATTTTAAATGGTCACGTTAAAATGTAACAGTTTTAAAACTAAAATGTAGATAATTATTTTAGCAATTGCTGTTACAGAAGTAAAGAAAGAATGACAGAATTGAAGAATGTTTAGAAACAATTAAGTGAGACGCTATTTATTTATTTTCATTTTATCTATCTAATAAATGCAATAATATCGTAAAATATCATTTTTACAGCTGCATAGACTAATTATCATGATTACTCGACTGTTTGCCAAATTTAAATAATCACCCTGTATATTACATAGTGTTGTAGTCTGGCTATTATACGGGCGGTGGCGCTGCAATCAAAATCCTGTAATAACTATAATGACGCCATAGGTAAATACTGTACATATTTTCTGTGATTATTAGTATTCTGTGGTAATAAGATGGTGTTTGGGGAGTGCTAAGTGGTGTTAAATAACATGTCCATGGAGACTCGTTCTAGTTCAGCCCTTTTTAAAAGGGCTGAACAATTAAAAAGATGGGAAGAATCGGACACAAATCGTGAATCAGCATCGCCCAAAGGCAAGCCGAGAAAAGTGAAATTTTCGTCGGGCTGTGTGTTTTTAGCTGCGTGTGCCGCGGGTGACAAGGATGAAGTTTTGCGATTACTGGAAAAGGGAGCGGACATTAATACTACAAATGTGGACGGATTAACGGCCCTTCATCAGGTAATAATTTTTGCCGTTTCTCTAAATGCAAGTCCTTCGTCCACCTGTAGCAGTGTTCTGGATTTAATGACGTAAAATGTCAATATGGCTTCGTTCAGCTGAAACGTTAAAAGTAAATAAATACAACGAGAAATAATGTTTGGATCCTCTAAACCAGGAACTCCAAATGTTTCCATTAATCTAACTTATAAAGCACATGAAGCTCGCTCTCGGAAATGTCTCTAAACTGTGTCAGTAATAACTGTGCTGTACATTTAAATCTAGTTTTACCTATATATACGACTACAAATACCTATCTTCAGTTTCAAATAATGAGGTTTAATTGGGTACCTATCTTCCATACGTTTTGTTTATTTAAATGCCTATAAGTTTAATTCATTAAGAGAAAGAACAATGTAAACACCTATACACCTNTTAAACAATGACTTAACGCCTGTCAACTTTTTTTTTTGTTAAGGTATTGACTGTAATTCAGCCAGACTGGAAGAGGAAAGGTTAATGTTGAAAGATGCCAGGGATTGGATGGCAGCGAAGAGTCCCCAAATCGACATGGCCCATTCCAAGACTGGAGCCACCCCTCTTCACGTTGCCTCTGCCAAAGGATACATCAAAGTCATGAAGTAAGTAAGCAAGTAAAACATTTGAAACAGATTTTTTTTGTTTTCCATTGCATTTGTTTTTTTTTAAGTTGTATCGATTTATTCGATTGCAGGATGTAGCTTGTTGGATTGATTGTTTTAGATTGTTGCTACAGTGTGGGGCCGATGTTGATAAGCAGGACGTGGACGGATGGACGCCACTCCACGCGGCCGCCCACTGGGGCCAAAAAGAAGCCGCTCAACTCCTGGCAGAAAATTTGGCCGACATGGACTGCAAAAACTATGTGGTAGGTCATCACCCTGTTTCTTCTTTTCATTTTTATAATCATGATGTTGTTTTCTTCTATTGTTCATATTTTTCTTTTTGAAGGGCCAGACACCGTTTGATGTTGCCGACACCGATATGTTCAGATTTTTGGACGACTTGAAGAAACGCCAGAACAAAGAAGAGGTGCTGCAAAGGCGGCAAGCGAAAAAGAGGGCGGAGATGCAGGACAAGGTAGAAACGGAAACGCCCTCTAAAGTTAAGAAGGTCGAGGTTGCTATCGAAGAAGGTGTCAAGAACAATAACAATAATAATAACAACAACAACGGGGGTGTAGGAGATGATGTTGGTGAGAATTGTTTTGTTTTTTATTTTTATTTGTTTTTCCTCTTCAAATTTTCATTATACGAGTCTTCTACAATTCAACGAACACTTTTGGTTTCTTAAATGTACTTTATAATATTGTCTTCTCGTTTCTATTGTTTTCTTTTCAATTGTTTGATTATTGGAAATAGTTTTCGTTGTATTGTTTTCGATTCGTTGTTGTTTTGATTATTATTTATTTTGTTTCTCTCTCTATTGTTTTTTTTTTGTTGTTTGCCCTGTTATTTGATCTATCTGTCTCCCTCCTCTTCCGCTGTACAAAGGAGGAATGGAAGTTTCTAGTGAAAGTGATTCGGATACGGAAAGCGGGAGCAGTAGTAGTGAAACAGGGTCGAACTCTGATACTAGTAGTGCCGATGAGGGTAACTATTTAATTTTGCGGAATGGGTCGAAACGTTGCTACTTTTTTCTTTTTTTTTTTCAATAATTGACCACTACTTTTTGTCTTTACCTTTTTGTATTTTCGTTCGAACACCTTTGCTCGTCTCTAAAAGGAATGCGTTACCTCGTCACTGTGAAGCATGCGCAGAACGTTGTAATTTTATTTCAGGGCACAAAATGCGTTAAGTATTTGTCTATTATGTATCTCGAGCCTGCGTATGTACATATACATAGGGTAAATAATTTCTGAATGGAAAATTGCATCATCTGCATCTGTTACTAATTTTATTTACTTCGACTAACCACTTTTCTGCATGGGTACATTACTTGAAGGTTTTTTTGCTGGCAATGTGCGATACGTCTTGTCATTTGTTCTTTTATTTTTTTTGTTTTTCGTAAATATAAACACGAGAAAATCGTTACGTTGCTGTTTGTCGCATGTTTACACGCAAAAAAAAGGAAAAACTGCTAATAAATAAAACAATTGCTTAAGGTTCATTGTCATTGCCTTCGTAACATTGGTGTCGATTTATTGCAGAGAAAAAGAATATGGTTAACTCACTAAACAAACAAAAAGATAATAATATAATCGCTAGCAATAACACGGAGGTGCCGAAAAGACCGTCCTCGGCAACGCCTTCTCCGCCTGCCGTCCCACCCAAGCCGCTCCAAGGCGGTGATGCCACCGCACCTCCTTCGACAGACGACAATAATGTTCCTAAGTGGCGCAAGCCACCACCCAGCAAGCCCCCCGTCGTTACCAAAGTCGATTCGCACGCCACTACTAAAACCGCTAGCTTTAGTAAGTATTCCTATTGGCTCGTTGAGAAAAAACGAAATGAGGAACCTCACCGCCTCTTGTTTTGTTTTTTTTTTTAATTTTTTGTTTTTGAGATGGGCGGGGAAGAACAGGAAGGCCCACATAAAGGAGGAGTCTACGATAGTATTTTTTTTTTTCGTTTAACGTTGTCAAACATTTGCAAAGCACTTTTCTAACTTACCTACTGGTCCTCAGCATTTTAACAATAAAATAAAATAAAAAATAGAAAATGAAACGCTTGAAACTAATAAACAACTGACTAACTCATCATATCATTAATTTGTGTACACTTTTCTTGCTGTGTTAATAATGATTTTAATATTTAGGTTAATACTTGGTAATAAACAAAAAAATTAGGACTCTCTTGCCGTTGGAAGATTTGTAAAATTCTCATTAATATTTTTTATTTGCAGAAGACAAGAGTACATCGGATGTAAATAATGAAAACGAAGTTAGTCTGAGACGGACCAATAGTTTCCAGAATGACCCAGAGTGAGTAGAATTTGTGACTTTTAACATCTATTTTGTTTATTTATTTTATTTCGTCATTATCAGCCAATATATGAATAACCGTTTAAGTTATCTAACGCTGCTGAGTATTGAATAATAACTAATTAATTTTATCTGGGGATAATACATAATGTTATCATATTGCTTGCCTTTATTAATATAAATTTGCCTTTTGTTTTGGATTAAATTGCAGTATTAAAGAATAATTCATTTGTTTACAGAAATAATTGAAAATTGTTGCTATTGTTTTTGCATTTGGTTAGAAGTAAAAAAAAAAAAAGAAAAACGTTCTTATTTAGATTGATTTTGTTATAGAAGATTTTCGAATGTTTTTTATCGTTTTCAAATGTTTTTTTATTCTTTTGATCTACTACTACTACTACTTTACAATTTTGCTGCTTAGTTCGTAGAAAAAGTAGACTGTGTTTGCAGAATGCGATACTTTTTTATTCCGTAGATAATAATAATTGTTATAAATATTATTTTTTGAACTGAGTCTAACTCTTTGAATTACTGTTATTATTCATATGAAAGGGAATGAAGATTATTATTATTATTATTGTTTGGTATTTATCATCGATTTCTGTACTCTTCGGAACCAATGCTTTATTATTAATCTTTTTTGCAGCTCTCTTGCTTCAGCTTATTTATTACATTCCGGCTTTATTTATACTTTAACAAATTTCCGCCTCTCGATTGATATTATTTTTACTCCAGTATTATCACGTTTTCTACCTTTTTTCTGATATTATTTTGCATAATCAATAATTCATAGTCTCTCCTCTTCGTTCATTCATTTTCGTTTCTTATTTTCTGTTTTGATTACCTAATTAGTAAGTAATTCTTCTTGGGTAAGTAATAATCTTTATTTTTTGATATCTATTAAATACTTAACAATTTACAGTTCTCCCATCTCCCCTCTCGCCCTCTCTTTCGACCATATCGGTCACGTAAAGCTTCTCTACTTATCAGTCTGTCCAAATGAACGAATAAACCCCTTTTGCAATTGTTCGTTATTGTTTTGTTTTAATTCATTAAGCTCGTTCAAAAACTAATATTCCAGTTTCGAACGTCGCGCCGGTTATTCCCCCGAATGCGACGAATACAGTGGCGAACTTCTAAAGTAGTATTTCTATTTAGTCGCGTCTAATACTCCTTTGCTTGCATGTTTAGGTTCTACACGCGATATCAGGCGCTGCGTGCACGCATACAGGCCAGCTCTGATCCCACTCATTACTCCTTCCCTTACGATTCCCAATCTAAGTACATCATCGCCCCTTCTAACAAAAACCGGCAGCAAAACAGGTACGCACGATTCAATTTTGTTTTGACTTTTTTTTTTTAATTTTTGTTATTAGTTATTCTTTTGTCGTTTTTTTTTTTT